TCTTGAATATCTCCAGAGAAGGAGACTCCACAACCTCCCTGGGCAGCCTGTCTGCCTTAAAGCATCCATGGGAGGAAGCTGCATGGCACAGGCAGCCCAAGAGAGACACTTTCAGCCCCTGCATCCCAGCTGGCAGTGGGCAAGGTGGAAGTGTGGTTGGCAGGTGGCCTAGTCTTGGCCAGGATGCTTGGCTTTCTGCAGGTTTTATCTCCTGTTAAGAGGAAGGATGGAGCCCATGTCACCCTGGGCTCCGACGCCTGTTTTGGGGGCCATGAGGAGGCTGGCTGTGAGCAAACTGCTTACCCCCTGCCCAGAGGTCCTCCCCGTGACCGTGTGAAGTGGGCCGCCCCTGTGGCACAGCTTTATCTCTCCTGGCAGGTGACCACGCAGTCTTCACCAACTGCTCTGCCGGGGACAGCCACCCGGCCCTCTCCTGCAAGAGTGAAAAGCACTCTCCCTGCCACAAACCTCTTGTGTCTTCATTCCTGTCTCCCCACAGCTGGTTTTGCCATTTGGATGACGACAACTACCTGAACCCTCGGGCTCTCCTGAAGCTCTTGTCCTCTTACTCTGCAACATGGGATGTTTACCTGGGGAAACCCAGCCTGAACCGACCCATCCGGGCCTCCGAAACGCTGCCAAACAACCAAACGGTACAGCCCGTGGTGGTGGTGCAGGGGCTAATGTGTTGTTTTTAGTGCTCTGGCTCTTTGGTCGTAGGTGTAACCCGAGGAGAGGCAGGTCCCACGAGCAACAGGCAACAGCTGAAGACTCAGCAGTCTTGTCTGAACATGGATGTAGGTGTAGACTCAATCTGATCTACCCAGTGGAAGAGTCCTACGTAGCTGCCTCGCCTTTGGGTGCCTGTCTGCCAGGAGATAATCCTGCCTTGGGCAGCCCACCTGCTGCTGACAGCAGGAACTTGGCCTCTCCAGATATGAGGAGGTCAAAATCCATGCTGCACTGCTGACAAGTCCTGCTTCTGGGCAGCTGTCAGGGGTCTGGGGTGACAATAGGGCTGTATTTATCCTGGCATCAAAGCTGGGTTTCCAGAATTCGCATCTCAGGGAGTATGGTATTGTCTGAGCCTCTGCCATTGATTCTCTCTACTGTTTCTGTCCAGAAATCTGTGCGCTTCTGGTTTGCCACGGGAGGAGCTGGGTTCTGCATCAGCCGCACGCTGGCAAGCAAGATGGTGCCATGGGCCAGGTGAGCTGTGCAGCTGGTGGGTGTGGGAGCCTTTTGGGGGTGAGGAACGTGGCCACCCATTAATTTCTGGCAGTGTCAGGTCTGGATTTGTGTATGTGATGGTTGCAAGGATGCTTGCAAGGGTGCAGAGTGCCACATGCTGCACATCTGCAAGCGCGTGGGACTGGAGGAAGGGTGTAGTGGGTGGGTCTGCCACCTGATTAAAAAGAGGCAAGAGTAGCCATGTCAGCAAACATGATCATAGCATGACATACTCCACTCTCCCCAGCTCCTTTCAGCTCTTGGTCATTTCCCCACACTCCTTCCCATCCCTTTCAGCTTCCTCTGATTCTTTTCGTAAGTGCTTTCTCTGTCTGCCTATCTCCTCTCCCCCTAATCTGTCTCTTTCCAACCTCCTGTACTTCTCTTCTGAGCTCGTTTCCCATTCCTCAACCCCAAACACTCTTCAGCTTCTTACAGTTGCCACTGCCATTTCCTCAGCTTGGTGCATGGAGATCACCATAGGTAGGTCCCGGGGTCTTGTGTTAGCCCAGCCTACAACAAAATGAGGTTTTCCATGATGTCCTAGGTTCTATCAGAGGCTATATGCACATACACTGATAGGCAGTGGCTGTCCCAGGCTTCACCAGATCTGTGCATACCCAGAAAGACAGGCCTGATCCGGACCAAGTGGCTGGTTTAGCTGAAGCCCATGATATGTATTTTATGGTAGGCCCAGACAGCAGGATGATCTGTGATCTAGGGTAAAATGAAAGTGGCATGGACAGATAATGCCTAACCTGGCATAAAGTTTGCCACCTCTGTGTTAAAAAGCTCAAAACAAATTTGAACTAGCTGAGGGGTGTTATAGGAGACAGTGCTTCATGCTGTGTGGCTGCTTCCAGCTATAGAAGCCTTAAAATTGGGTGTAGCCTGTCATCAAAGGATGGCCAAGCATGTGGTGTTACATTACAGTGGAGCCATGGATGGCTTATGCAAACTGTGCAAGACTGTCCCATTTCTTCTTTCTCCTGGTCCTGGCCATGTGGTCCCACTGTTTCTCCTGTGCCAGCTTGTCTGATCCCTCAGGGTCTCAGTGCAGGTGGAAAAGCAACTTGGCAAAGTCTGGCAGCTCTCTGCATCAGCTCACTAAGGAGCTGGATATGTATCAGGGACAGCACCCAATAACTGGTGGGACAGCACGGCTGGCAGCAGTCAAAGAGCAAACACATTCCCAAATCTTTGCAGGTGGAACTCGGGGATTTCTTGCCAAGATTTACTCTGGTTTTCAGTGAAGTCCTTTGTTGATCTCCCACCCAGGTGGATGCCTGTATCTCCCCACTGCCCTCTTCCTAACCCACGCAGCCCTTCTCTCTTCCAGTGGCAGGAACTTTCTGAGCACTTCAGAGCTCATCCGCCTGCCGGACGACTGCACCGTGGGATACATCGTCGAGTGCAAAGTTGGCGGACAGCTGCTGCCCAACGCGCTCTTCCACTCTCACCTGGAGAACTTGCAGCTCATCCCCCCCTCTCGGCTCATGCAGCAGGTGAGGAGGGGAAATGGAGCAAGAGGGAGGTGTGTGAGGAAGGAGAAGTGGAGGGGAGCTTACAGGCACATTGCTCCATTGGTGGCACTGACGTGGATTGAATCAATCGTCTGCTCTTTTGGAGAGGCTTTCCTGACAAGTGCTTCTTTGAAATGAGAAGCAGATGTTGCTTGCAGCACAGATGCCTGTCACAGTGCCCCTGGGGTCAGCAGTGGGGAGCGATGGGAGGATTGAGGGCATCCCTGGGGGAGTGTGGCACAAGGACAAGCAGAAATGATGATTGATTGGGGAAGGGGCTTTGACATGGCACCAGGTCTGTCTTGGGTGGGGAGGTAACAAGGGGTGTAGGGGGCTGGAGAGGTAAAGAACTAGCACGGTGGACCATCATGGGAAGGAAGGCGGGAGAGACGTGGAAGGCAGAGGCCAAGCCAGCAAAGAAGGAACCAGAATGGGAGCTTCTGTAGCCCAAAGCAAATGCCTTGCTCCTGAACTCACCTCATCCTCCCTGCTCCTTTCTCACCACCCCTCTTTCCAGGTCACCCTCAGCTATGGTGTCTTTGAGAACAAGCTCAATGTTATTGAACTCAGCGGCCCCTTCTCACCCCAAGAGGATCCCTCAAGGTATGGGGCAGGAGTGCTCTGGGTGGTGCTGCGGTGTGAGCCCTCAGACAACAGGCTGGGAAGGGGAGGCAGGCAAATGGAGTGCAGGAGGTTGAGAGTGAGGGACATGTTTTATTGGGAGAAGGGGCACACCAGCATTAAGCTGTTTGTGAACGCTTCTAAACTTTGCAAACCTTTTTGGATGAGTGGGAAGAAAAGGAGTATCAAAACATTTTATTTGGACAATTCCTGAGCCAGAAGTATTGCCGCTTATTTCACATTTTGAGACTGAACAAGCTACCTTTTACCTCTGGGACAGGAACAGAAATGTTCTTTTAAACTCCGGAAAGGAAATTCTGCTTGCTTTTTCATTTTTTGTTTTGCTGAGAGAACTGAAGGGAAAAAAGAAAAAGGTTCACTTCAGGCTGACTGCAAACAAAAGCGCTCTTTGATTTACCTTCTCTGCTTCGAGTGAACAAACCTAAAGTTGTTATTTGCAGAGCATGGGTAGGAAGCTCCTGGCTGGAGGTAGCAGGGGTGGGAAGCAGCTAGGCGATGAAAAGAGCATCGACAGAACCATGTAACGGGGACTGGTGCAGTGCCCATCTCCCTCCCTGTGATCAGGGTGAGCCATGGAGTTGGTCTACACGGGCTGGAACTGGGTTGAGGTGTTGGAGGGAAGCTTGGCTGCTTAGTTTTGCTGAGAAAAGACATCCTGAGGTGAACAACCGGTCCTGGAGCATTGTAATGCAGGGTGGGGGCCTGATGTGGGATGGGACATGAGGGAGAGGTCTTCCATTCTCCAGTAAAAATTGTCACCTGACCTTCCTTCACTCTCTCCCCAGCAGGTTTCGATCACTACATTGCCATCTCTATCCCGACACCTCCTGGTGCCAGCAGGCTGTTGGCTGGTGATGCCTGAGCCTCAGCTACAGTGGGTCCTGGTGACATCCCTTCACCTCGTGCACGTAGGGGATGGCACACTGAAGAAGCTCGGTGCTCCCAGTTTCCTCTTTTCTATGGTGATCTTGGGGCTGTGTGATGGCATTTTTGGTCTTTTCTGAATACCGGTGGCACGTGACAAGAGACAAGATCTATCCCAAAGATGAATGACGTGTGCTGGACACGTGGTTGGGCTTCCCATCTGTTCTGGGATACGTGCAAGGGATAGGAGCAGCATGCCTTCCTGAGCAGATCAAGGACTGGGTGGTGACTGCTAGGCATCTGGGTAGAAATGGGCACCTGCTGCTGCTCCTTGCTGTGGATTTGTCTTGCTGGACTAGAAAGGCCCTGGGTATGAGTAACCGGTGCCCAACTGAGGATAGCTGCTAGCATGTCGTGGCTCCAGCCTCTCTGAGCAGGCCCTCTTCCTCCATATCTGCCTGTGCTTTCCCCACCACCCACTCTTCCCAGCCACAGACCCTTGGCTGAGTCTCTGCTTAGTCAAGGTCTATAGAAATGGAAAATGTGACCATTTCTGTGCTGAATGAGTGCTGGAAAAGTGTAGTCCTTACTTGTCAGGAAGCACAAAAAATCAGGAATTCCCCCCTCTGCTGGGACAAAGGAGAGGGTGTGGGGTCAGGGAGCCAGGAGGAGACAGGCTGAGATGAGGATGGTTCCTGCACTGAACACTGAAGGCTGGATCTTGTATGGCCCTGCGTTATTCCTCTCTTTTTACCTTCTTGATACGGGGTCGGGATAATCTCTTGCTCTAATTACCAACCTGTCATCAGAGATTAGACTCCAACTCCTACCTGTGAGAGAGGAGACATAAAGGATTAGAACTGGCTGAAAGAGAGGAGAAAGGAAGAGATGGAGAAGGAGCACTCAGGAGCGGATTAGAGGTTACAGCTTTATAATCTTCTCTGTGCCCTCACCAAAAAAATTAAGTCATGAAGGGATGGAAAGAGCAAGGCAAAGAGCTTTTTATCTCTGCATTTCTTTCTCCAGATGCTAAGAGCAGCTTTCTGCCTTCCTGCTGTCCCTGCTGAGCGCAACAGGGGGAAGGAGCAGGCCCAAATAGGTTACAAGCTCTCTGGCATGTTTGTGGAGAGCCCTTTTCTCAATAAAGCCTGGCGTGAAAGCTGGGCAGTTCTGCTTGCTAAGGAATGAATTTTGGCACCGTTTTTTCCTTAAAATAACAGCTGATGCCACAAACAAGTATTTTCTCTTTATAAAGCGTTTCAAAACACACTCTTGGGATCTGTGAAAGATTCCTGTAATCTCCAGATGAAAGGACAAATGCCCTTTCTCTGAAGAGCTGCTCAGCTTTGATGCTGCTGATGTGACTCAGCCTGTTGCTGGTGGGCTGGAAGAGCCAAAGGCGACTATCACTGTGCCTCCACCGGTTTGAAAACTGGCCACCCTGTCAACCTCCTCCCACCCCTCCAAGCACCAGCATCTCCTACACAGCACACACGAGGTTTAAAGGAAAGGCACTGGCAATAGACCTTCCACCTCTGCAAAGGGGGATCTAGAAATGAACAAGCACTTCAGTTTCTGGAGAAGCAGAAAGCAGGAGCCTGTAGAGGTGTTTTCCAGCCTGGTCATTCTTACCAGAATTTAGCTTGTGAAGCAGCAGAGAGCTGTGCTTTCTTCTCTTGCAAAACAGACCTTTGAACTGGAAATCCATCCTGAGCAGGGACAGGGGCTAGCTGGTGCCAGTGACCATTCCTTGAGTCGTGCAAAGCACTTGGCTCACGCAGCTACGGGAACCTAGGAACCACGCTGCTCAGAACAGAGACACCCAACTGTTGGAAGGCAGGTGCATCATAAAGAAGTCCTGCCCCACAGGGCAAGTGGTTTGGTTTGAACTCAACCAGAATATGAAAAATGCTTCTGTGATAAGAAAGGAGAGTCTTTAAGAGAAATCTACACTACCTGGATATCTTCTTTTTTTCCCTAAACTGTCAGCTGTTGTTAATCGAGACTTTGAGTTAAAAAGCCAGTCTTATCTGTAGATGTCCTAGTGACAGTCAAAGAAAAATGCGATTCATGTGCCCGGAGAAGGAGAAGAAACTGATACAGCAGCTTCACTTCCCTGGGGAAAAGCAAAGCAGAGAAACTGGAAACCTGCTTCGGAGCCTGGCCTCAGCTGGTCTGAATTGGCCTCATGCCTGTTGCATGGCTGAAGATCAGATGTTAAATGGGTTGAGTTCTTGAGTGGCTGCATGGGGACTGGTTTGAGACTGGGCGTCGTTGCTGGAGTCAAGTGCCACTTCTGTGGAAAATGTCTTGTCTCATAAGGAAACTGAGAACAGATGAGAAGATGTCTGGGGCAGGGCATCTCTTGGGCTGTAGAGAAACGAGTGACAGAGAAGTCCTGTTATGCCTGTGACGACAATGTGCTGGAAAGAGAATAGCTTCTCAGAGTCGACAAAAGAAACCAGGTTTTCTCTAAGAACAGAGAGACAGCTTACGGGGACATTCACCACATGAAATCTGATCAATGTTAAAACCTGAGTTAAAATTAGTTTCAGGAATGGTTCCTGCCTCTGGGGCTTGCTGTCAGATTTTGTGGTTTTACAGTCTCTTTTTCCTAGTTTATTAAAATGTTTAGCTGCTTGGGAAGATGAGAAACAATCTCACGTGAAATTTTTCAGGAGACTGTTTTTTTATTCTCCTTCATGACTTTCTGATGTAACAGTTAAAGTTTTTGGAAAGGTTCCGCTGGGTCTATTTATTTTTTTTCTTTCTCTGTTTCTTTTTTTATATCTCTCTCTCCCTTTCTCTATCTCATGCTCCCTTTTCTCATTGCAGGAAAAAAAGTCTCTCCCAAGAACGAAAAGGGATGGAGATGTGGTCTTTATATTTTACTGGGAAAAATGGGGTCAAAGTCAAAGGCATTGGCATGACCCTGCTGCTGTACAACATCAAGTGTAGTTCAAGGTTTCAAGTACAGAGACCTCCGTTTGCCCAACACCATAGCAACCAACACAGTTAATGACGTTTAAGCTTAGATTACTTAAGATTCAGAAAAAGGAGGGAAAAAAAAGCAGTTACAGTATTTGAAATGTAAAGTATTAAGTGAGGCTTTCATGTTAACAATATCCTTTCTTCACTTTCCCTTTAGCTGTGAAGAATTTTTGTAAGGAAACCCCTATTTGACAGTGCAAAAAAAATGCTAATGACTCTCCTTTCTTTAGGGGGAAAAGAGAAGTTAGTTGAAATAGGTGGGAAACTGCAGTTGTTGCTAAAGGCTTGAAGGGGAGAGAGAAGAATAACAACGCTAGACAATGCTTCTGTCCCTCGTGCCAACTCCTCTTAATAACTCTGCTGCTGGAGAAAAACAGATTTCTAAGCCACTATGGGATTTCCCCAACTGGTACCCAGATCGCAGCCTTCAGCTCTCTCCCCAGGCCTCTTGCTAAAGATAGAGCCTTCTAAAGACAAGCAGGTTATTAGACAGAAGCTAAGAGGTGAGAAATAGGAACAGAAAGAAAGGAGATTGGAAGGAAGGAAACCACCAAGCGGGACCTTGGAGGAGAGCATGGGAATTTCAGCTGTGCATTGAACGTGCTGTTCGGGAGCTGCGCAGCGATAGCGGAAAGGGGATGTTGCCTGGACCCGCAGCTCTGGATGTTTTTGTGATTGTAGCCCACCAGTGCCAGAGAGGGTGCCAGCCTATGAGTCAGACTTTGCCTTGGAAGAGGCAAGATCAGGTTGGTTGGCCCCAAACCACTTCTTTTCCTTGTCTTTTTTTTTTTTTTAAGAACACTCCAGAGAAGTTGATATGTTTTCATCTGACAGTTATACTCAATTCCTTACAGCAGATTTTGCCTCTTAATTTCAAGGCTTCCTCTGCCCTTGTTTACAATTGCAGGCTTTTCAGACAGTCCAGGGGTAGGATCAGCAGCTATTTTCATTCGTTTATTTAATTTCTTTTGACTTCAATCCCTGAAAATCCCTACAAAACAGCTGGCTTGCCCTTTTGCACCATAGGCCACCGTGGCTCTACACACTTGAGCACACTTCTGGGGTGGCTGCGAAGGTGAAGGAGGGTGAGTGACTGCTCCATTTGGGAACTGCATGGGCATAGAGAGGCATGGAACATCCATGTGTTCTTCCTTGAGGCACCTGCTAGCAGCTAGTGTCAGAGATGGGATCTCATACTAACTGGGACTTTCTTCTGTCCCAAGTATTGCTCGGCTTATGGCTCCACTGAGGAGGATGTGTTACCATAGACATAAGCAAGGCCAGGAAGAAGAGCAGCATCACAAATGTGCAAATAACTGTGACTGCTCTCACCAGCTGATGCAGGAATTTTTCCTCTAGACTTTCTGCCCAATTACCTGGGAGGTTAAAGGAGTGCAGGTCTGAGCTGTTGTTGCTCAGCTGGCATCGCCTCTTTAAGGCTGTTCCTTGACAACCTGAGATTTTTGTCGCTCCCTGTTTGATCCAGCTTGGACTCCAAGAAAGCTGGGAACTCATCTCTCTCCCTGTTTGACCTGTATGTGATTAATTACAGACCCTGAGAATGGGCTCCTTGCCTATCTCTCATGTTTAAATTGCCTTCCAGGATTTTGCAAGGCTAAAGAGCCTCTTCAGATGTTACATCTGATTGTGCCTCAGTCAAGCCTCCCTTGGTTTTGCTGGGAGCTGCATCTGATTCATAGTAACTTTGAGAACAAATTAAACTGTGTGCTTTGTATGTGGATTTGCTGGCCCTGACCCTTCTGCCGCTGCTTGAGGAGATGGCAGTGTTGATTTAGCAACATAAGTACAACTAAACAGGGCAATTGGATGGGGAGAGATGCTGCTATTCTGAACCTCTGCTTTCCCCATCCCACCCCTAAAAGTGGGGCACAGAGAGAACCTGCAGCTGGTGCCTTTGGCCACGGTGTATCAGGTAGAGGGTATGCCGTGAAATATCCAGCATTTGCACCGGCAGAGAATCCAGCAGCCCCAGTTGTAAG